ATACTGGCTAGGGCTAAAAACATATTTAAAAAAAAATTTTTTTAAGGCTTTCTGGGGTGGGACCCTTTGAGTGATGAGATTGGGATGGAGGCCAGAGCAGAGGCTGTGGAACAGGTGTACGAGGACATTGTGGATCTTTTCTTAGTGTGGGTTTCTCCAGAAGCAGATGCTGAGGCAAAGATTTGAGATTATTTGGAAAAGGCAAACATTGGTAGGGGAGGCAGGAGTAACACAGAAAAGGGGAAATAGCCAAGAAACAGTAAGTTATTAAGCCAGAACCTCTGTAGGGACCTGGGGCTTATTATTCTGTTGGGGAACTTTGAGAGCCAGGTACAACACACACTTGAGTTATCCCAACAGAGAGGTGAGGGACCTGGAGTATTTATATACCGTCACTCGTTGAGGGCCGTTAGAGTGGGAAGTTGCATGTACTACCTGGCACTGAAGGCTTGCCATGTTCATATCTGGGACATAGCAGGCACCAGAGGTCGGAGAATGCCCAGATAAAGCTTCATGTGCTGGCACTGGTATTCAAACCACCATGTATTGATAGGGGGAGGGAGATGAGATATGGACTTAGCACCCACAGTATCTGCTACATGCTGCCACCCAGGCACATTCACCCAAACACTACTTCTCAGCCAGGCACCACAGCCACTCCCCAACACCAATGCCTCCAGAGATTAGATGACAACAATTCTAGTCCAAATTGAGTTTAAATCTGCCCTCTACTGGGAACCCTGACCAGGGATCAAACTGGTGACCTCTTGGTTCACAGGTCAAAGCTCAATCACTGAGCCATACTAGCCAGGCCCAAATTGAGTTTAATAGGGAGTTTCATAAAGAGATTCACTGGAAATGTAAAGGTCCGAGATAGGGGCTTGGGTGAGCTCTGAATTAGAAAGCAGTAGGACCCAGGGTTAAAGACCTGAAGAGGTTGGGGGTTCATCTTAAGAATTCTATTGGGGTGATACTGGGAGCTGTTTTGGGATGCCCCAAGTATCATTTAGGGGAATTGCATCTCGGGTTCCAGGTGTGAATAGCTAAGTGAGGATAGGGGTAGGGGTTCAGGGTGTTTCACAGAAACAATCAAGGAGCCTCGATTTCACAGAAATCATCAAGGGGGCTCCTTGTGGGTGGGAGAGGGATAGTACATCACCCCAAATATTGGGGACTGTTTACCCCCACCACAGCAGCCACTTTGAGGTTTTAATGTAAGACCCCAAGGGCAGGACATTCCACATACATTATCATGGATTTGCAACATTAGCATACGCTGGCTGTCCCACAGGACGGTGGGGACTGGAAAATCAGTCCAGGTTCTGGGTTTTGAGTCCTAAGAGGACAGGCCTGGGGGTGCCACGCGGCTCCTCTTCAATAGCTGCCGGAGCTGTAACAAGACAAGGCAGAGAGAGATGTCTTGGAGGTTGCAAGGAGAGGTGGGGGAGGCAGAGCTGGTGAAGTTGGAGGTTAAAGAAGAAAAGTTGAGTGGAGTCAGTTGGGTTTAAAGATCAGAGGTTCAGAGTCAAGATTTGGAATTGAGGGTGAAAAGGCTCAGAGCCAGAACTGGGGATGAAGGGAAGCTATTGCTGGTTGGGAGTTCCCTCCTTTGGGTTTGCATTGAGGGCTGGGAGTTAAAGGGTAGAGACATGGGGCCAGAGGTCCCATTTGGGGGTCAGGAGTCCCATTTTGAGATCAGGACTCAGGGTTATGGGCAAGGGATTGGAGGCCATACTTGAGGATCAGAGGTCGTTCCCTGAGGTCAGGATTCAGGGTTGGAAGTAGAGGTCATATGTTGAAGTCAGGGTTTAAGTAGAGGTCAAGAGGAGTTACCATTACAAGGTAAGGAATCAAAACCTGGGGTAAGAGGTCACATTTGGAAGTCAGGGTTTTTTAAGGTCACCTTCTGAGATTATCTCTAAGGTCAGGAATGTGTAGGGTCAGGGGTTCACCCAGTTAGGTCAGAGGTCACTCAATGCTCACCCCTTCAGGGCCCGGCCCAGGCCGCAACAAGTGGATGGGCTGTTCATTCTCCAGGTTTCGCAATGCTGGATCTGCCCCAGCTGCCAGCAGGTGACGCACTATGGCCTCCTGGTGTGGCCCAGGGGGCAGGGCAGCTGCCATGTGGAGGGCTGTGTTCCCATGGGCCTGGGGACAATGAGGGGAGGACTGATAAGGATTCAGACTCAGCCAACCTGAGCTCTCAGCACCACACTTCATATTCTGCCACATCCACAGCACAGCACAGATTTCTCACTTCACAGAGACATGCCATACACCCCTTTCACATTCCAGAACCTCCCTCCACAACCACATTACACACACCCCTCTGTCTATGTACTATGCATCATCTCAGTCTACAGTCACAACCTGTATAGTCCCCATCCAGGTCCCGTACAATGTCCCCTCTACGGTCACAGCCCATAGGACCAACATCCCACTGCCCTCTCTGCCATATCTCTCATAATCTCCACATTCTAGCCTAGGACCCTACCTTCATGTTGACAAAGGCCCTCAGGTCTCCCTGTGGCAGCTCCAGCAGCAGCTGAACTAGGACGGTGTTGGCGGCCTGCACAGCCAAATGCAGAACAGTCTTGTTGCTCTTGATCTCCTGTGGGAAGGGGTACAGCAGAGGTCAGGCCAGTCCTCACACTCAGGCCTCCTGTCAGAGCCCAAGAGCCTGTAGAGACCCTGCCTCTCCTTTGTAAGTACCCAGGGGTGCCTTATACAGTTGTATGGACTGTGCACTATACAAAAGTTTAGGGGAGTGCCATTTACGTCACACAAATCACAGAACATTACATTTATTAAGATAATTTTCCAGCCCAAGTGTCTAAGAAAAATGCTTCTTTCTAATCCTCCAAGGTGTGCTCTGGGCTAGCAGCTGCCTTGGCCACCCCACATTCTATTAAGCATAGTAAATTGTACCTACATCCTATATGGGTGGTACTTTATCTATTACAAGGATGGGAGTTGAGCAACATTACTTAGTGGACTAACCTAAGCCTGTATCCATTTCCATATTAAGCTGTTCTCACATTTTGGAGTAAAGCAAGCCATTTTCCACAATGAAACTTTAATATGTGCCTTTAAAGAGTTTATAATGATAATAAACATTAAAAATGTTAGGTGTTTATACAGGGCAAAACAACTTAGTTGGCTCACCAAATAAATTATGAAGAGAAAACAGAGATGGAGGGGGAAGCTCTATATTAAGAGTGACTTAAAAGATATATCATTGCTCCCTGGCTGGTGTGACTCAGTTGGTTGAGCATCATCCTGTGCACCAAATGGTCACCAGTTCAATTCGCAGTGGGAGGCAACCAATCGATGTTTCTATCTTCCTTCCTCTCTCTAAAAACAATTTTAAAAATATTCAAACAAACATATTGCAATATGTGAGCTTTATTTGGATCTGTGGGGGGTTCTTTAAAGAAAAAAATAAATGTATGTCACTTTAGAGCCACACAAAATTTGAATAAAGCTAGAATATTTGACATTATGAAATTATTCGTTATTTTTTAAAAATATTTTTATTGATTTCAGAGAGGAAGGGAGAAGGAGAGATAGAAATATCAATGATGAGAATCATTGATTAGCTGCCTCCTGCACGCCCCCTACTGGGGATCGAGCCCACAACCAGTGCATTTGCCCTTGACTGGAATCAAACTATCGACCTTCAGTCTACAGGCCGATGCTCTATCCGCTGAGCTGAGCTGGCTAGGGCTTGTTCATTATTTTTAAAGTGGAATAATGATATTAAGGTTAAGGGTTATTTTAAAGACACACAAATATTTATGAATAAACTTATATGCTTGGATTTGCTTAAAAGTAATATAGCTAAGTGGAAGAATAGATGGGGCAGGACTGGCTATGAGTTGCTTGTTATTGATGTTTGCTTGGTACATGGAGTTCATTATACTATTTTCTGTACTTTATCTATGTTAAAATTTACCAAAAAAAAACCCAAAAGCGATATGTGGATGTTTAATTCTCTCAGCTAGCTCGTAAGTATATAATAAAGAGCTCAATTCTGGGATCAGACTTCCTGGGTCTAATCTCCTCTCTGACACTCACAATCTATAAGATTTTTGACATCTTGTGCTTCAGTCTCCTTATCAGTAAAACAGAGAAATAATAGCACATGCATCTAACGGTGTTTGTGAGAATTCAATCCTCTATGAAACTCAGTGCTTGATAAATAGAAGCTCAGGTCAACAATATCATTTCCAGTTGACAACTGGGGCACAGAGAAGTGAAGTAATGTACTCGCGGACACGCAGCTGGGAAGAGGTAACATCAGTGTTTGTTTGGAGCCCCTGGGCAGCCAGGTGCCCCCGTCCCACAAGTCCTCCTAGGGACTGGCTTCCCGTAGCCCAGCTCACCTGGCTGGTGTGATCAGCACCCATATGCAGCAACATTTGGACGCAAGACAGCCGGTCTCGGGCCTGAATACTCAGCACCCGGGAACAGGGGTCAGGTGAGACCATAGCAACATTGAGAGCCAGGATGGCTGTATGGAGGGGGGTGAGTCCTGCAGAATGAAGATAGTGAGGGCTCTGCATCTGGAGCACCCACCCTGCCCAGCCCCACCTTCTGCACCTGCCCAACCCCACCTGCCACATCCGCCCTGCCCACAACCCAACTTACCCTCGAAGTCCCTGGCTTCCAAATCAACCCGAACCCCTGAGTTAATCACAGCCTGGGAGGAAGAGAAGGAAGAGCTAGATTAGGGTCTCCCCAGGCCTCCCAGTCCTAGAAGCCAGAATCTGGGCAATCAATGACCCCATCTACCACAGCCATACCGAGAGGACTCCTGGGAGGCCATAGGTAGCAGCCACATGCAAGACAGAACGTCCCTGATGGTCAGTAGCATTAGGCTCAGCTCCCAGGTTCAATAGATCCTCCACAATCAGAGGCTGGTTGGCAGCAGCAGCCACCAGGAGAGGAGTCTGCAGGTGAAAGGAGAAGTCAGACTGAGCCCCAGCCCCCTCGCAGGAATCCAGGCCCCCAGCCCCTCTGCCCTCAGATTGAGTAATCCAAGCCCCTGGCCTTCACCTTGCCCTTATGCTCACGAATGTCCAGATGTCTGTATGTTTGGAGCACCTCAGCTGCAGCGTATGCTGCCCAACGCAGCCCCCGAGCTGCCAGCAGGTGCAGGAGCCTGAGGACAGGTGGGAACAGTAGTTAGTACAGATGGCCAGGCGGGCCATGAACCCACAGACTCTATTCCCCCTATACTCACGTGTCTCCCTCCTCGTCTTGGGCCAGCAGCCGCTGTGGACCCAAGGCCAGCATTTGAGCACGGGCTGAGTCGAGGGATGGTCCAGTGACCAAAGAGGGTAACTGTGGGGGTCCTGAGGGGAGTCCAGAACCTTTCCAGGATCCCACCTGTGGCAGGGAAGGTTCTACATAAAGCTGGGTATCCAGGGGGTCCTGAAGGATGCAGGTGGTGAGGAGAGCCAGTCAGCTGAGGAGTCCCTCTTCCCAACCCATCCCACCACACACATACATATTCAGAGTACCAGGTAAAGTGGCTGCGTGTCCCATCTGTGCCAAGTGAACTTAGACCTTTGGGCCTTAGTTTTGCCTATCTGAGGAATGGGATCTTAACCCAGCCCCAGACAACTCAGAATGCTGCATGAAGGCAACTGGGAACTTTGGGGCCCTTCAGCATTCTGTTCCCACTCTGTATCTTACCTCCATCCCCAGGAGAAATGGATATGGCTGCCCTGGGTCCGAGAGTGGGCAGAAGTCAGAAGTCAGGAAACTTTCAGCAGCAGAAGTAGGATAAGAGTAGGCACTGTCTGTGTAGGCAGCAAGGGTGTTGGGGCTCCAGTCTGGAAAGCCTGTGGTGGGGACCAGGCTGCCAAGTCCAGAACCCACAGCCTCCTGGTGGGCTGGGAAGTGAGTATGGCCTGCATGTGAGAGGAGGAGCAGGGGCAGGCCTGGTTACCGGAGTTAGGAAAGTCACAGCCAAGGCTGGAGGACCTGTGTGAGGGCCTGGAATCTCCCAAGGTACTGAAAGCTAGTACTTCTAGGATCTAGAATTCTGGGACACCAAGGAGTTGGAAGGTTGGACTTCTGGGACCTGGACTCCTAGGATGCTGAGGGGTTGAGGGGTTGAGGGTCTAGACTCCCAGAATACGAAAGGCTGGGAGGTCCCTGGGCACCAAAGGACCATATGCATAGACTATTGGGCTGCAGAGAATCTCTGGAAGATCAAACTTCCACTGGGTCCTGGCAAGAACCAGAGCCTGACTCCTAAAGTTCCCCAAAGTTCTAAGAGTGGGGATGTGAGTCCCAGAGGGAAGCTGGAGCTGGGAGTTTCCAGACTTACCAACCTCACCCTCGTTCACAGATGGAGTCAGGGGCTGGGCCAGGGGAGGTGGGAACTGTCCCTGTAGAGACATAAGGAAAAAGGAACATGGTTGAATTTCTCTGGAGATTCTTCAACATCCATTCCCCAGCTCTAGGATGTCTAAATCAGCACTACATCTCTCATCATCCCTGAGGACCCAGCAAGCCAGCAAGCCCTGCTCACAGCACAGGGCCTCCTGAGAGCTGTAGTGGACAGGGCTTCATGGGCCTCACCGGTGCCCCACCGGCGTCAGGCTGTTGCTGGCGGCGCCTCTGTTCTTCCAGGAGCTTTTTCACGGTCTGCGATGGGCAGTGGCTGCGCTCATTACGG